ACTTACACTGAGACAATTAGTAGCTTTAACAGAGAACAAGATAGCTTCAAGAACATAAAACAAGCTATTTTACAAAGTAATGTCTCAAGGTGTTCTAAATACTACATCTCCTCTGACTTAAAGGGAGATAGTGAGGATTGTATTTTCAGTAGAGTAGGGACTTGGATACTACTAGCCCAAAAAACTCACTACATCAACTTAAACTAAATGTTTATTTTACAAATAACGAGCCCAAGCAGATGGATCATAAAATCTTCAAACATCTAGCAAGCACTACTTTCCACGAGTGCATTACGCAGGAGGATTAAGTTAACAAGTGCTCTACAGTCTGTCTGTGCTTCAACGTAAGACATTTGTAGTGATGGTCACAGAGCAAGACAAAAAAAGCCCTACAAATGTCATCAACAAACAGCAGTGATTTTGCTATCTAATTAAATTCCTTGAAGCAAAATCACTACTAGGTTATATTACTGTTATTATATTACATCACTCAACTATGAGCTGTTCTGTTTCCAATAACCAGAACATAACATTATAATAACAAAAACAAAAAATAGACTATTCTCAAGAAAGTAACAAACTGGAGTGATGAACTGTGCCAAAATGTTTCAGAGTTCAGGTGAGACTGAATTGTTTCTCAAGTATTTTACAGTTAAAGCACCCTCTGGTATAGACAGAGTACTTGCTTTACAATAATGTATACTTTCAAAGACATGAAATGTGGTCAGTATACTATATTTACACTTAATTTGAGAAAAGTACCAAAAAAGAAGTCCCGTTAGTTATGCTTGATTAGATCAAATAACTAAAATATACGATTCAGCTCATTTGTCTACATATAGTATAGTGTTATTAGAATTACGAAGCAGAAAATGAAGAATTTTAAACATACCACATGCTACACTAGTCAAGAGGTAATGAGGAAAAGTGAGCCCTAGAAACTGCCTTACTAGCAGCCTGATGGGTTTAAAAACACAAAAGCACACGAATCTTCCATAAACACTATCTTTCCAGCTTCAAATTTCTGTTCCATACTAAAAAAGTATATTTAAATTTTTTGGTCCCAGAAATACTATATAAAACCAGGTGATCAAAACAAAACTGATGTCATTAATTTTAAGAGTTTTCAGCAAAAAAGTTATTTTTGAACTGGCACAGCAAAAGCAAGGTTGAATATCAAGATACACAAGACTAATCATGCAAACAACTGTAAGTGGGATGTGTTACTTAAACACTAAGCTCATGACTGACATTCTCAATATACACCACTGATTTTTTTAAGCCATGGTGGGGTAGATATAGTTCAAGGATACCCAGTCTAAGATATAAGTAGCCTCACTCAAAGTTATATACATATTACTTTTTGGTATAATGACTTCCTCTCTCTTCTACAAACATAAGCAAAAGCAACAGCAATAAAACAAAGGTTTGCTTGAACACACATTAAACTGTCTTTCTAAAGTCATGTTTTTAACTGCTTACATTACCAAAAACCATCTTTTAAGTTTTCATCAAAAAGGAAATTTCTTTCCCAAGGAGTTATTTTAGGCCTGATCCTTGTAATTAGAATCTTTCCAAATACTCTGGCAAGTTATTTCCAGTTTAGAATTTCAGAATGTCAGCCTTGAACAATTTAAGCAAATCTGGTTTCTTTCCTTATTAACAAGTTAGTTAGGATACTTCAGAAACACAAGTTATTGATGTGAAATCACACATGTGAATTCAAATATAAAAATCAGAAATTCCAGAAAACCTGCACACATCATCATGCAATGAAGGACTTACCCCTTCTTTTCAGCCATGGCCTAGGCTGCCTGCTAAGTTAAAAAAACAACAGTTTCAATAAAGGTTTTAAAACCAGATTATGCCTAAATCTTATGAGTTATAATTTTTGTCACACCATGTAAAAAAAACACAACCCCACCAAAGACTTGGTAATGATTATCTCAGAAGACAACTCTGAGAACAAAAAACAAAAACACATCACACCCTTCTAGTGAAAAACTATCAGAGTGAGATATTAAATTATTTAAACACAAGAAAAGGAAGTTTGCTAGCATGGTCTATTGGAGAGAAATGAGAACTTTATTCAATGAGCTTCACTTAATGATTCACTCTTACTTGCATAGACCTCTCACAACTAGGAATTAGTGCTTCTCAGAATCCAAATGGCTTTTATTAAAATGACTATAAAGAAATGGAAATTGAGAAGAAGGTAGTGGTGGGGTAGGATAATATATCCTTATATGTAGAAATAGACTTGCAATTTCCCACACCCACTCTAGTCTAAATTAAAGGGATTTAAAGTTGATTTTCAACTTTAACACATCACACATTTATTAAAAACTTTTCTCCTAGGCAGGGATACTAATTTAAAAATTTCAAGTTCTTAGTATAGACCCAAGAGCTAAAACTATTAGTCTTGCAGCAAATAGCCAAAATTTCTGGTTGTGCTTTTTTCTTTCGGTATTTGATCACTAATAAGGTTAACTATAATGGACTAGGAAAAAAAAACATGACTGCACTTGGAATTTGACTTTAGAATGGCATTTCAAAATGTCTAAGAAGGTAAAGACATTCCTTAAGAAACAGGATAAATCACTGGGCAGGTGGCTCTTTGGGACACCAAGGTGGGAGGATTGCTTGAGGAAAGGAGCTTGGGACCAGCCTGACCAATAAGGTGAGACTTCATAGCTTAAAAAAATAAAAAAACAAGAAAACTACATTGCAAACTGTTAGGAATCTTTTATACTGAGCACTAGGAGTCAATTTGAGGCCAGGAATGGTGGCTCACATCCACAATCCCAGCACCTTGGGAGGCCAATGGGGTGGATCTCCTGAGCCCAAGAGTTTGAGACTAGCCTGGGCAACGTGATGAAACCCCATCTAAAATACACACACACTCACACACACAAATCAGCTGGGCATGGTGGCACATGCCTGTAGTCCCAGCTACTCAGTAGGCTAAGGTGGGAAGATGGCTTGTATCCAGGAGATGGAGGGTATAGTGAGCCAAGATCGCGTCCCTACACTCCAACCTGGGTGACAAAGTGACACCCCATCGCAAAAAAAAAAAAAAAAAAAAAAAAAAAAAAGTCGATTTGAGTGCTAACTTTTTTAAAGTTCAGGAGACAGAGAATTAGAACAATGTATAAAACTAAATAAAAGATAGCTTCAGTGATCTTTTTAAATTTTTATTTGAGACAGCATCTGTCACCTAGGCTGGAGTACAGTGACATGATCATGGCTCACTACAGCCTCAACCTCCTGGGCTCTGGTGATGCTCCCTTCTTGGCCTCAAGTAGGAGGGACTACAGGCCCATGCCAGCCACCATACTCAAGCTAATTGTTGTACTTTTTGTAGAGACAGGGTCTTGCTATGTTCCCCAGGCTGGTCTTGAACTCCTGAGCTCAAAATTTGCCCACCTCAGCTTAGCCCAAAGTGCTGGGATTACAGTCGTGAGCCACTGTGCCCAGCTCATAAATCTTTAGGAGCCAAAATTATGTACCCAAATTTGGTATCCTAGGCTCAGGCAAAGTTTAAAAGTGTAGAGCAACTAGATAAAATGTAACAATCAGGGCCAGAAATAATAAGGCTTCTCTTTAGTAACATTTCTCTAAATTGTGACTTCTTTCCCATTTTGAAAAAAACAGTTCTTGTAGGAAGTAATAATGGGCCGGGTGTGGTGGCTCAAGCCTGTAATCCCAGCACTTTTGGGAGGTTGAGGTGGGTGGATCACCTGAGGTCAGGAGTTCAAGAACAGCCTGGCCAACATGGCAAAAGCCTGTCTCTACTAAAAGTAGATAAATTAGCTGGGCGTTGTGGTGGGCACCTGTAATCTGAGCTACTCAGGAGGCTGAGGCAGGAGAATCACTTGAACCTGGGAGGCAGAGGTTGCAGTGAGCAAAGATTTTGCCACTGCACTCCAGTCTGAGTGACAAGAGCAAGGCTTTGCCTTTTAAAAAAAAAAAAAAAAAAAAGCCAGGCACGGTGGCTCATGTAATCCCAGCACTTTGGGAGGCTGAGGTGGGTGAATCACTTGAGGTCAGGTGATTGAGAAAACCTGGCCAACATGGTGAAACCCCGTCTCTACGAGAAATACAAAAATTAGCCAGGCGTGGTGGTACATGCCTGTCATTCTACTTGGGAGGCTGAAGCAAAAGAATCACTTGAACCTCCTGGGAGGCGGAGGTTGCAGTGAGCTGAGATCGAGCCACTGCACTCCAGCCTGGGCCAGAGTGAGATTCCATCTCAAAGACAAAAAAAGGGAAAAACGAAAATTCTATATAATATGCATTAAAGCAAAAATTAAAATGGAAGGCATTGAGTGTCGATTGTCATAGGCATTATTTACACTCATTAACATATCCTCAAATTATCCTGCAACTCCTGAAAAAAAGTGTTTAAAGAATTTTTTAAATGCCTTTCTCAGTCTACACTAATACTTTTCTTCTTACAGAAAGAAAGTTCACACATGTGACCTGCTGTGTATTTAGTCAATCAGCTAAAGATCCATACTTTTGCCAACTACCCTCACCTCAGACCGAAGCCTTAAAGTCTATAAACAGCTGCTAATGAAAAACATTCAAAAAATGCATGAGCCAATCACAAATTTCTCATCAGTCACATCTTCTAGAAATGAAAATGGCATTTCTAGATAAACATAAGAAAGTATAATGCAAACATTCTCAAACCATCTTGCTGAAATATTGAGCATTTTCATCCAAATTTCATCTCACTATTGCACATGCCTCCTGCAGATGAGGGCTCAATGCATAAGTCCGATCTTGCCAAAATCAATCATTTCATGAAAAATGAGAAAGAATATCAAAGTAAATGTGCAAATAAAATTGGTGCTTAAAGCATGTTCAAAACAAGTCCCCAAGACAAAGGAGTTATAACTCGTTGGCAGAAAAACAGCCAAGCAACTACACCTGATTTTCCCATTTGTCTTTAATAAGATCTTATTTAGCTAGCACAAACCAACCAAAGACAAAGATTGCAAGCTAACAAAACGACCATGTATTGAACTGAGTTTCCCATTCTCTAGTTTTAACTGTATTTCCTTTATATGGGGTAATAACCAGTTCACGTAGAAAATAAGTTATTGACATACTTTTTCAAGTAACAGCCTGGGTATCTTCAGCTTCACGAAATGGGTATAACAGTTTTAAGCTGCACACTTGAGAGAGCCTAGCATTCAATCTGAGAGCTTGGCACCCGCCGCATGTTTAGGGCGTGACGATGTATCTCTTGCATCTGTCTGATGCGGTCCTTCTGCCACATTAGGTTTTGAGGCATGGGATATCTCTGCGTGCCATGCAAGTATCGGTATGGGATCCTCACGTGACAAGCAGTGGCTCTACAACGAGGTTGTGGCATAGGAGGAAGAAGCATCCACCTCTTCCTCTCCGCACAGTATCGGTAGGCTTCTTTCCGATACTGCTTATCTATATCATCACTGTTTTTCCAGCCTCCAATAATGAAGACATCATCTTTGTAATAGCAAATGGCTGCTCCTTCGATGCTCAGGACTTCTGGAGGCAAGCTTTCAAGGATCTCATCAGATACTTGGCTGGCAATTTTTCTTACTGCCTCTTCGTTTTCTAAACAATAACTCTTGGGACAACATGATGCTGTCTGATAAAAGTTTGAATTGACCACAGACATCTGGAAAAAGCAGTAATTGTCAATAAGTGGCAAAGATTCCACATCTTGCCACTGTCGAGTCTCTGTATCATAGCAAGTAATTACAGCCTTTAGTCCATCTTCAGTGTCCCGGTCCACAGGAGTGCGGGCAGCAATGTATACAAACCGGTCTTCAATGCCTAGTGCTTTGACATCTCGAAGAATCTTTGGTGCCGATTCCAAGTTGTGCCATTTATCAAGCTCAGGATTATAAACAGTCACATCTTTAAAACCAGGACTAAAGTTGCCATGTCCTCCAATGCTATAGAGCTTCCCTTTGACTTCTGTTAGCCCAAAAGAATGCTTTCTTGTCATCAGACTACAAACATGTTCCCATGTATTCAAATTTGGGTTATACCTTTCTACAGTTTTAGCAAACCCTGGCTCCATTGATCCCGCAACATACACGTAGGATTCTGTTACTGCAACAGCATGTCCATCGAGGTGATTATGAATATGTGGCAGGTTTACCCATCTATCCTCATCAACAAAATATCCCACACATTCACTTAAATAGTCCCCTCCTTCTGACACACCTCCAATAACCATGATCACATCCATATTTTGCCCATAACGAGGCAGTAGTGAAACATGAGACGTGGGGAGCTGGAATGTGCCAGATTGTATATTCTCAGCTCTCAGAGCATGCCTCTCCACTGCGTCGGCCACCAACTTGACGCAAACTTCATTATTGGCTACCAGCCTCTCTGGTTTGACATGTCGTGTAAGGTAGGTAGGTTTCATCTGGGACAACCTGAGCAATTTAAAAAGTTCTTCAAAGTATCTCTCTCTCTCTTCAGCATTTCTCTGAACCCATTTCAAAACGGTTTCAAAGAGAACCTCTTCAGAATCAACCGTAATTTCCAAATCTGAAAGCCAGTCTCTAATGAGATGGAAAGGTAATGTATAAAATTCTTCATCCTGAATCACTTTGTGGAAATTTCTCCGTATCATATCAGCAGCCTTCAGAGCAAGTTGGCTCAGGGTGTACATGTGGGCTAAGCTATGAATTGCCACACAATTTGAGAGATGAAGTTTTTTCTTAAGAAATTCTCCACAAAATTCTTTTAAACGAATTAGTAGGAACCTAAAATCAAGAAAAAGGGAAAAGATTAATTTTTCAAATGCACATATTTCATGTGGTTCCTTTTTTTCTTTTGAGACAGAGTCTCACTCTGTCGCCAGGCGTTAGGCTGGAGTGCAGTGGCACAATCTCAGCTCACTGCAACCTCCGCCTCCTGGGTTCAAGCAATTCTCCTGCCTCAGCCTCCCAAGTAGCTGGGACTACAGGCACGCACCACCACGCCCTGCTAATTTTTGTATTTTTAGTAGAGATGAGGTTTCATCATGTTGGCCAGGATGGTCTCGATCTCTTAACCTTGTGATCTGCCCGCCTCGGCCTCCCAAAGTGCTGGGATTACAGGCTTGAGCCACTGCGCCCGGCCACATTTTTTTTCTTTTTTTTTTTCAGACAGGGTCTCACTCTGTCACCACGTGGGAGTGCAGTGGTGTGTTCTCGGCTCACTGCAACCTCTGCCCCCTGGGTTCCAGCGATTCTCTTGCCTCAGCTTCCCAAGTAGCTGGGATTACAGCTACCTGCCACCATGTCCAGCTAATTTTTGTATTTTTAGTAGAGGTGGGGTTTCACTATGTTGGCCAGGCTGGTCTCAAACTCCTGACCTCAAAGTGATCTGCCTGCCTCGGCCTCCCAAAGTACTGGGATTACAAGTGTGAGCTACCATGCCTGACCTACATTTTTTTTTTTCTGAGACACAGTCTCACTCTGTTGGCCAAGCTGGAGTACAGTAGCACCATCTCGGCTCACTGCAACCTCTGTCTCCCCCGCTCAAGCAATTCTCCTACCTCAGCCTACCAAGCAGCTGGGATTACAGGCATGTGCCACCATATCTGACTAATGTTTGTATTTTTTTTTTAGTAGAGATGAGGTTTCACTATGTTGGCAGGCTGGTCTTGAACTCCTGACCTCAGGTAATCTGCCTACCTCGGCCTCCCAAAGTGTTGGAATTACAGGTGTGAGCATCCCACCTGGCCACGGCCTACCTTTTTAAAAAATTATTATTATTATTATTATTTTAGAAATGAGGTCTCACTATATTGTCCACACTGGTCTTGAACTCCTTACCTTAAGCAATCCTCCTGCCTCTGCTTCCCAGAGAGTTTTGGATTACAGGTATGAGCCACCATACCCAGTCTATGGTCATATTTTGAGAGCATCTAAATTATATATATTGAAATGGTTAATCTCATTTTATACACAAAATCTGGAAAAAAAAAACCCACCCCCAAATTAGGAAATATTGTGCTGGAAAAGGATTTTTAAAAGCACATACAGGCCGGGTGTGGTGGCTCAAGCCTGTAATCCCAGCACTTTGGGAGGCCGAGGCGGGTGGATCATGAGGTCAAGAGATGAGACCATCCTGGTCAACATGGTGAAACCCCATCTCTACTAAAAATACAAAAAATTAGCTGGGCATGGTGGCACGTGCCTGTAATCCCAGCTACTCAGGAGGCTGAGGCAGGAGAATTGCTGGAACCCAGGAGCCGGCGGTTGCGGTGAGCTGAGATCGCGCCATTGCACTCCAGCCTGGGTAACAAGAGCAAAGCTCCGTCTCAAAAAAAAAAAAAAAAAAAGCACATCGTATAGGCTGGGCATGGTGGCTCACACCTGTAATCCCAGCACTTTTGGGAGGCTGAGAATCACTTGAGCCAGGAGTTTGAGACTAGCCTAGGCAACATGGCAAAACCCTGTCTCTTAAAACACAAAAATTAGCTGGGCTTGGTAGTGGGTACCTGCAATCCCAGCTACTCAAGAGGTTGAGGGAAGAAAATCGCTTGAACCTGGGAGGCGGAGGTTGCAGTGAGCTGAGATTTTGCCACTGCACTCCAGCTTGGGTGACAGAATGAGATTCTAGCCTCAAAAAGAAGCACATACAGAGCTGGGCATGGTGATGCATGCCTGTAGTCTCAGCTACTCAGGAGGCTTAGGCAAGAGGATTGGTTGAGGTCAGGAGTTCAAGGCTCTAGTGAGCTATAATCGTGCCTGTGAATAGCCACTGCACTCCAGCGTGGGCAACAAAGCAAGACTATCTCTTAAGAAAAAAAATACATAGGCCGGGCATGGTGGCTCATGTCTGTAATCCCAGCACTTTGGGAGGCCAAGGCAGGCAGATCACGAGGTCAGGAGTTCAAGATCAGCCTAGCCAACATGGTAAAATCTTGTCTCTACTAAAAATACAAATATCAGCCGGGTGTGGTGGCAGACGCCTGAAGTCCCAGCTATTCAGGAGGCTGAGGCAGGAGAATGGCTTGAACCCAGGAGGCGGAGGTTGCAGTGACCCAAGATTGCATCACTGTACTCTAGCCCGGGTGACAGAGCAAGACTCCATCTCAAAAAAAAAAAAAAAAAAAAAAAAAAAAAAATATATATATATATATATGTATATATAAAAATCATATTTATATAAGATATATTTAAAGTATTATTATATTATAGTTTATATAATTACATATATATGAAATACAAACATATATATATGAGAAAACACAAAACGGAGTTTTTATTTTAGGAGACAAGTTTTCACTATGCTGCCCAGACTGGAGTGCAGGAGCTATATTCACAGGTGTGATCACAGTGAACTACAGCCCCAAACTCCTAGGCTCAAGCAATCCTTCTGCCTCAGCTTCCAGAGTAGCAGGGACCACAGGCACATGACACTAGATCCAGCTGGAGTTTTTTGGTTGTTTGTTTTTGGTTTTTGGGATGGAGTCTTGTTCTGCTGCCAGGCTGGAGAGCAGTGGCACAATCTCGGCTCACTGCAACCTCTGCCTCCTGGGTTCAAGGGATTCTCTTGTCTCAGCCTCCTGAGCAGCTGGGATTACAGGCACACACCACCATGCCCGGCTAATTTTTTGTATTTTTTAGTAGGGATGGGGTTTCACCATGTTAGCCAGGCTGGTCTCAAACTCCTGACCTCAGCCTCCCAAAATGCTGGAATTACAGGCATGAACCACTGCGCCCAGCCAGGAATTTTTAATTATATAAGGTTTCATGAAACATATTTAATAAAGTACAACAGTCCCATACTTTATTTTCACTTTGATTTGTCCTTGGCAAAGGCAAATCCCTATCCAAACTTGTCTTTGCCGTTCTTCCCTAATTCCTTGCTAGTCACCAGCCTCATGCTTTTTGTTTGTTTTTGGTTTTTTTTTTTTTTTTTTGAGACGGAGTTTCGCTCTTGTTACCCAGGCTGGAGTGCAATGGCGCGATCTCGGCTCACCGCAGCCTCCGCCTCCTGGGTTCAGGCAATTCTCCTGCCTCAGTCTCCTGAGTAGCTGGGATTACAGGCATGTGCCACCATGCCCAGCTAATTTTTTGTATTTTTAGTAGAGACGGGGTTTCACCATGTTGACCAGGATGGTCTCGATCTCTCGACCTTGTGATCCACCTGCCTCGGCCTCCCAAAGTGCTGGGATTACAGGCGTGAGCCACCGCGCCCGGCCTGTTTTTGGTTTTTTTGAGACAGAGTCTCACTGTCACCCAGGCTGGAATGTAGTGTGCAATCATGGCTCAGTGCAGCCTCAATTGCAGTATCGACTTCTTGGGCTCAAGTGATTCTCACCTTTACCTCCCAAGTTGCTGGGACTACAGGCAAACGCCACCACACCCAGATACTTTTTTTTTTTTTTTTTTTTGTAGAGACAAGGTTTTGCCATGTTGCCCAGAATGGTCTCAAACTCCTGAACTCAAGCAATCTGCCCACTTTAGCCTCCCAAAGTGCTGAGATTACAGGTGTAAGCCACCACACCCAGTGCACTAGCCTCTTTTTAAATGAAACAAGGTCTCAGTGAAAGGACCTTATGCTATAAAGTAAGAGCCAGGCAGGAACTTGTTGGGGGGTCTCTTCAGTCAGGTATCAGAAGAAACAGACTTTCTGCTAGAGGTTTTATTTTATTTTGAAAATTTTTTTCCAGGAGCATAGATTTAAGATACCCTGAATACATATACTCCCTATGTCAGAGGTTTTAATCTCATCACCAGAGCTTTTTCTTCGGGCAGCCAGAGGGGATGGAGTACTCAGAAGATCTGTCCTGAACTGGGTTCTCACTAAAGCAGGGATGCCACGCAAACTCAAACATCTGAAGAAGCAGGATACAACACAAAAACACAACAAAAAAACATGTGTAGAGGCTGGGTGCAGTGACTCAGGCCAGGCACAGTGGCTCAGGCCTGTAATCCCAACACTTTGAGAGGCTAAGGCAGGAGGATCACTTGAGGTCAGGAGTTCAAGACCAATCTGGCCAAAATGGTAAAACCTTGTCTTTACTAAAATAGAAAAATTAGGCCAGGCTCAGTGGTTCATGCCTATAATCCCAGCACTTTGGGAGACCACGGTGGGTGGATAATCTGAGGTCAGAAGTTCAAGACCAGCCTGGCCAACATGGCAAAACCCCAACTCTACTAAAAACACAAAAATTAGGGCCGGGCGCAGTGGCTCAAGCCTGTAATCCCAGCACTTCGGGAGGCCGAGGTGGGTGGATCATGAGGTCAAGAGATCGAGACCATCCTGGTCAACATGGTGAAACCCTGTCTCTACTAAAAATACAAAAAATTAGCTGGGCATGGTGGTGCGTGCCTGTAACCCCAGCTACTCAGGAGGCCGAGGCAGGAGAATTGCCTGAACCCAGGAGCCGGAGGTTGCGGTGAGCTGAGATCGCACCACTGCACTCCAGCCTGGGTAACAAGAGCGAAACTCCATCTCAAAAAAAAAAAAAAAAAAAAAAAAAAAAAAATTAGCCAGGTATGGTGGCATACACCTATAATCCCAGTTACTTGAGAGGCTGAGCAGGAGAATCACTTGAACCCGCAAGGCGGAAGTTGCAGTGAGCTGACATCGTGCCACTGCACTCTAGCAACAGAGTGAGACTCCATCTCAAAAAACAAAAACAAAAAATACAAAAATTAGCCCAGCATGGTGGCGGGTACCTGTAGTCCCAGCTACTCAGGAGCCTAAGGCAGAAGAATTGCCTGAACCTGGGGGCAGAGGTTGCAGTGAGCCGAGATCATGC